AGTTGTGCTGCTGAAGAATTTCAGAAATCTGGCAGTTGAGCATCCAGACTGCTTTTTAAATTTGACTTCAGAGTATTTAGTCTATTGTAATCAAAGGTATCCTGTTTGGCAGAAGCTGTGTACTGTTCTTGTGATTTGGAATATTGTCAGTAGAGACTTTTGCTCTGTTTGCTAAACATGTTTTACTTGGGTAACATCAAAAATAGTTTCAGGCATCTCGTTGGTTCCCAGCAGTCATTGTTTTGTCCAGTGGATGTCAGAAGTTCATCACTCGATATTAAAGTTATGTCCTTTGAGGAGGAAAAATAGCTCATTCCAAGCTGTTTTCAGTTGTTACAGAATGCCCTGAAAGGTATCCAGTCACTCTTAAATGGCGGGAAGATGAAGCTAATGCAGACTGATCAGCTTGGGTCTCTTCTTGCAGTATTAAAGGTGAATATCTTTTTGGTTTGAATCAAGAGTTCTCAAAACTGTTTCTGGAGACAGGCTGTATAGTGCATGGCCATGTTTCACTTCAGGTGGGAAGAGAGAGGATGGAAGACCGGCTAAAAATGGGGGAAGAGCTTAGGTGTAGGGAAGGAAGGGCAGATTGAAAAGCAGAGCAAAGGGAGCGGGGAAAAGGGGAGAAGTTCCCTATAAAACACATGATTTCTGTTGCTTGCACTTCCACTCTTAAGAAAAGTGATTGTGATGCCTTGAAAGCTGAAAGATTCATCCAATGAGCTTCAGCACCCAAATCTCCCTAATGTCCTGTTAGAAACAGTTGAAGTTGAATTCCAGCTACCTTTGGGGCATAAGGCATGCTTATCAAAGGATCAAAATTACTTTACAGATATGGCAGTGATCTATAGGTGAAAATAAAAAGACCAATTGAAAGCAGTTGACAGTCCCCTAACCAAATATATGATGATTCTTTGCTCTTCAAAATGGAGTGGAGCACTGATGTTTTGGGGGTTTTTTTGATTACTTTTCTAGAAATGCATGTTTTATGGGCTTCCTGGCTTGAACATAGAGATGCCTGCAGTCTTGTATCCAGCTCCTTTGCCTCAGTATGACAAAAGATCACCTGTCAAACAAGAGCAATCAGAGTTGAGCACCTTTAAGCAAACGGGGGTAAAGTCAAATTCCAGCTTTTGTGGCTTTCTGTGCGTCTGTCTGTTGCACTTGTATGGTTCCTGACAGCACGGATGGCTGAAAGGGCCTTTGTGTTCTCAGTGCGTGACGTCTCCCACATTGCTTGCCTGTAATGATATTGATCAGAAATCTCTGCATTTTGAATAAAAATTGCTCTGTGCACTCAGTCAGATGACTAAAACAGATGGTTCTGCTGAGATTGATTTGACTGACTGTAGCTGTGTGCATCAGTTATTCATTTGTTGCCAAGAATTCTTGGCCTACACACAGGAGCTGAGTGTTTGCAGACTAGCTGCAGCATTACATTTGACAAGAAACATTACTTCTTTGCTAACACTTACATAACCATTGCTCTTCTTGCTAGAGAAGTTAAGCTTACGATTTTGCCCCTTATGTGCCTCTTAATCCCTCTCTGCCTCTGCAGTTTATTATTTAACCCCATGACCAGTTTGGGTTACAAATTACATGAAAGACGTTGGGCAAAATATAGGTGCATGGTCCTGTTGACTTGTAATCTTTTTTTAATGTTAATGAGTATCTACTGTCAATCTGGGAATGCTTATTTAAAGCACTTGATAGGTCTGGTTCTCAAGTGCCTTCACATCCCTCCCCTCCCCCCCTTCTGGAAAAATTAAGAATTGCAAAAAATCTAGTAGTTGCATTGATACTTAGAGATTAGCATGTATATATTCCCAGAGCTTTGCATCTAAATATCCAGCTAAATCCATTGTATATCATGTACCTACATGATAATAAGGTATTAGAAAGAAACCAAAGTACATGCAAATAAGTGGCATTTTTAAGATGCAGTAGACTAATAAGGTCTCATTGTGTCAGTGTGTATAATTATGTATAATTTATAGAACACTGTTCCATAGTAACTAATGAATACCTGTGACAGACACTTTTTTGGCTAAACTAAACTTCTTCACCTAAAAATAACTCCTCTAGTAGCTTATATAATGTGCAGTTCTTTGCTGGTGAAATTAATTACTGAATGCTCCATGAGCTCATGGATTTTTGCTACTTTTCAGGATTACTAGAGCCAGTCTCTTAGAAGAGATCTTGTTGGCATTGAACGAGATTTCCAGAGTAATGAAATATTTTCTCGTTACCTAGCTCTTACTGTAGTCTCAGCATTTTTATGTTATGTGTTATCCCCCCGCAAATCTATTTGCCTTTTAAAACAGAACCGAAGAAAAAAGTCCAAAGGGAAACAAAAGAAAGGGGAAGAAGTCAAAGAAGAGTCGAGTGATGCAGGCAATGAATCAGTCCGTGGAATAGACATCTTTAAACTACATTTGGGAGATGGGCAAAGCAGCCCGTGTTCAGATCCCCAGAATGGTACATTAGACGCTACATGTATGCCTGCAGGAAAGGATCATTTATCTTCATGCCACCCCAGCTGGAAAAGAATCAGTAGCAGTGAGTCAGAGTATTCTGATGCTGAAGGTGGAATACAAAGCAAAATGAGGTTATTGTTATTCATGTAAATGTACAGCACAGTAGCAATTGACACTGTTCATAACAATCAGGCTTGTGTGTATCATGTTAAATGGTGCTTTTTGTTGTTTATGTAGATATGGCACTGGTTTTGAACATGTGCAATGTTTTACCCTCCTTTATATGTGCAATTCCAGCCCTTTGTTCTTAAACAAAACTATTTGGGAAATCACATTCATTTTTGATTTATAGGTTGACTTGAAGAAAATTGCAAGGTAGTCGTTAGTACTGGTTTGAAAGTAAACTCCTTTTATTTTCTTCTGGTCTTAGATATTTTACTTGAAGTTGTTAATGCTAGCCAGTGCCACAGATGAATGAGGTTAAATCAGTTACTTTTCAGTGCTGCTATTAATTAATCTTTCTGTGTTGTTAAAGATCTTATCAAGCCAAAGTTCGACAAGGGGCTCTAGCCTGTTTCCTTTCCACTATAAAATCAATAGAGAAGAGAGTCCTTTATGGCTACTGGTCTGCATTTGTTCCGGATACACCTGGAATAGGCAGCCCTCAGTCTGTGTCCTTGATGACTATTGCTTTAAAGGATCCTTCTCCAAAGGTAAGGGAATTTGTTGTGGTGAAAGCATTGTATTTTCCAGTACTAGTCTTAAGTCTGCAATATAGTAGACAGTCCTTCTGGGGTCTTTGCTTTTGTTGCTGCTCCAGAAGAATAAGAGAGGATGCATTGTTCAGGGCAACAAAGGATACTGCATTTGCACTCAAGTGTTATGAGACCAGGCTGTTGGAATTAAATTATTTTTTTCTGGGGAAAAGAAATTTTGAGATGACAAGAGAATTTCTAGACTTTGAAAAAAGTGTTGCTTTTAGAATGGGAAGAAGCATGAGAAAGTGAGTCTTCTAATTTTCCTCCTGGTTTTTCTGGGTTTTTTTGATTGAAACCATGGGAATATTTTGTCTTTTTAGACTCGTGCCTGCGCTCTTCAGGTTCTTTCAGCCATATTGGAAGGTTCTAAGCAATTCCTTTCTGTAGCTGAAGATGCAAATGACCACAAAAGAGCTTTCACTCCCTTCTCTGTGACTATTGCTTCCAGTATCCGAGAGTTGCACCGCTGTCTGCTGCTAGCCCTGGTGGCTGAAGCCTCCCCACAAACACTTACCCAGATCATCAAGGTACTTGCTGTCATCTGTGAAAATATGTATTCTGTATATGCTTCAAATTTAGCCTAAAACGAATCTCCTTGAAAGCAGACATACTCTACAGATGTGGCTTGCAGAGTAAGATTATTCATTAGTCCTTGGACTTGTTCGGACCCTTTCTTACAAGATTGAGTTAGGTCTGCCTGGAAAGTCCCATTGTTTTCCATCTAATGTGGCCAGCTTGTCTCCACATTTTTGTTATGACATCTCTTCTGTGTTGTGTGAAGGTAGGAAGAGCTGGAGGGTCCAGAAATTATTTTCCATCATCTAATTGAGTCTTTTCCTTTTTATAATGGCAATTTTGATTCAGATTCTTAATGTCTTGATTGGCTGGCAGTTTGTGCTTTTGAACCACATGTATTCTAAAAGCCAAGTTTATGGGCCAGCTGTTCAAACACCAGCTGTTCAGTGATGACTTTCATTTTTTGCAGGTATAGCCAGGTATTTAGCTATCTGAGTGATCTAAATTGCAAGGATAGGAAGAGGCTGGCTGAAGATGTGACTATCACGCTTCATCTGATGTTCTCTTGTGTGTTTTAGTGCCTTGCAAACCTGGTATTGAACGCACCATATAACCGCCTGAAACCCGGCCTACTGACAAGAGTGTGGAACCAGATAAAGCCATACATTCGTCATAAAGGTTTGCATTCTATTTGACTGGGTTTTCTTTTTGGTTTGTATACATCTCATCTTAATTCAGTGTAGATTCTTGCTAATGACTAGGGCTTTTATCTGTAGTAAATTTTCTATCATAAGCATGGAAATAACCACAGTGCTTGGTCTCTCACACGGAGATTCCACCAACCACTGATGCTCAGAAGCCCTGCCAGGCTGAGACTTTTCATAGCAGTGTCATGGTGTTCACCTTGTTATCTTTTTCTGTGTTCTTTTTAACAGATGTTAATGTTCGAGTTTCTAGTCTCACCTTGTTGGGAGCTGTACTGTCTGCTCAAGCTCCCTTACCAGAGGTGCAGTTGCTTCTACAACAACCAAGTTCTTCAGGGCTAAGTAACAGTGGAAGCGCAACTCCTCATCATTTCAGTTCCTCTGACTGGTGGAGAAAGGCACGTCCCTCTGAAGGGGAGCCTGCTGCTAATTCAGAAAGTGCATCTTCAGATCCCTGCTGGCTCATCCGTCTCTGCATCTCCATCATTGTTCTCCCAAGAGAAGATTCCTACTCTGATAGTGATGCTAGCTTCGCTTCTGGTACTGTGCATGAACCATCTCCTGTTCGACTGGAGGCGTTACAGGTAGGAATGGCCAGCTTTTGAAAGAGCCAAGTGATCAATAAAATGAAGTAAAAATGCTACTTCACCTGCAGCAGTAAGCAGTTCTGGTTTTTGATGGAGTGTGTGTCTGTGTAAGATATGACTTTTATTTGGGGCCTTTCATTTGTGAAACTCTCTTTATCAAATAGAAATTACTTTTTATAAAGGGCTCCTATCAGTGAAATATTGACAGACTATAGACAACTTTGGCACAAGCAGAGAAATATACAGCAGTATCGACACTTGTAAGCTCAGTTCTAGGTTTCTTTGTGCAGCAACCTAGAAAAGTGGGGTTTGGGGCAAAACCATGAGCCTGCACATTACAGAAGCAAGGATGCTTGTCAGAGCTGGCCTCATAAAACAGGGAAGCAGACTTCTTGGAGCTGTGGGACCTGTCACTTTTTCACTTGGGCTTTTAGCTACAGGAGAGCTCGTTTAAACACAGTGAATAATTTGCCAGGAGTTGCTATCTGACTGTGTTTTCACCAAATTGTATCAAACAAGATAACAGAGTTATACACATCTTAAATTTCTTTTGGATTCTCTGTGTTGTGATATATACCCGTCCTATTAAAACTGTCCTATTAAAACTCAGGCATCTTACATGACAATACTGTAAAGTGTTTCATGCCTTTTTTTATGTGGAAAATTCCACTCAGCCTTTATTTTTTTCTGTCCTGTATCTGCAGGTCTTGGCACTTCTTGTAAAGGGCTATTTCTCCATGGCCCAGAATTATTTGTTAGAGTTTGGAGAGGTGGCTTGCAAATGCATGGAGGAAGCAGATCCATCTATTCAGCTCCACGGTGCCAAGGTGAGAGCTTGTAGAAATGCACTTCTCCCTCTTCCAGGTTTTGCTTTATACTAGTGGGTTGTTTTTTTCAACCAGGGGGCCATGCAATCCTTTTAAAGATGCCATGCTACATTTCCATTGTGATGTGTACAATAACTACACAATTCACAAGATAAACCCAGAGATTTCAAATAGGAGTCCGTAGGGTCAAAAACCTGCTGACTTGTTGTGGGCTTTCTCAGTTCTGTGCTCTGTTTTTCTGTAACCAAGAAATGAATGGAAGCCAAGAGCACACTTTTTTTGAGGGGCACCGTGAGTCTAAAAAGGTTGAGAACCACTGTTCTATACATATGATCTCAGAGCTTTTCTGTGTAAATCTAATATGAGACTGTATCTAGTCCAAAGCAGTGGTATGGAGAGGGATTGCTGAATGTGCTTCTGTGCCTCTTCCATACAGCACGCTATAAATGAGACCAGCCCTCCCAGTGCTGTAGCCCGTTGTGATATACTATACCCTAAGACATTGAGAAATACAGTGTTTGGCCCCGGTCTCGCATTCCTTGCACAGTTGTAATTCCACAGCTTTGAGTGGGAGTTCTGGGGGCACGAGGAGTCCAGAATTGGTTCTTATTTATTGCTTTAACAACAGTTGGCCCAGGAGCATGTGGTATCCAGAGCAAATAAAAACTCCCGAGTGACATTATTTGTATCCCTCTCTGCCCAGCTGCTTCCATTACACTGCTCTGCTTAGAGATGCTATTTAGGAAGAACTTTTCCTCCAAGTTCTTGAGATACCAGGCTCTGATACCTCATAATGTAACATTACATTGCAGATGTTGTTCATTGTGTAAATAAATGTGGTCTTTGCTAAGATCTCCACCATCAAGTAGCACTTGAGTTTGCTTTGATATGGAGCCAGTTCATTTTCATTTTCTTGGCAGCTTCTGGAGGAGCTGGGCACGGGCATAATCCAACAGTACAAACCAGATTCAGCCGTTGCTCTCAGTCAGAGAGTACCTGTTGACTTGGTAAGTCTGTTCACTTTTAGGGCTAGGATTCCACATAATTAAGCCTCAGTTCTTGAAATCTATCAAATTCATAGTCTTGTCTGTTGTTATAACAACCTGCAGAAAAATGGGAGCGTGCAGTAGCCATAGACATTATTCTATTGAGGTTGCAAACTTGCAGTCTAAAGATCTACAAACAACTGCATTCATTCTAATGGTTCTGGTTTATTATGATAGGCTGTATTCTGCTCTTAAATGAGCTGGCAGAGACTGTCACGGTTTATACTCATCATTCTAACCCAGAGTGTGGGGTATTATCCAGAGAAACACAACCTGTGGGTATTAAAGCTGAATAAGCCTCCTGGTGAATACAAAGCTAACAAAAAAAAAGGGGGCGACCACAAACTATGATGGATGTCTCTTGCCTGACTATTTGAGACAGAAGGTTTATACTTTGAGGGGTCCTGGCAAGGTTAGTCGCACCTAAAATTAGACGTAGGAGCGTCATTTTAGGTTTGTGAGCAGGAAGAGTATGGGGAAGCTGAGAGACCATGTATGGTGTGGGTGCTATATCAGATCTGAAATACCCATACCAGCCTAGGGGCTTTTAATGCTGACGTGCTCTCTGATCTTATTTCAGTCTTCTGCAGGCTCACAAGGTGGCCAATAGCATAACATGAGCGATCCTAAAGAGAGCCATCACTGAGGGATGCTTATTTGACAGGCCAACCCAGTTCTGAAACTGGGCCATAGCAGTATTGCAGGTCTGCTAAATCCTGCTTCCATGAATGGAAATCTTTTATAAACTAATTTGGGGCATGTTAAATTTTGAGGCTGCCAGCAGCAACCCTGGGAAATAGGAAATATCTCCACCAGCCATGAATTTCTGTTACATGAGATGAACATAAATTGTCAGGCCAATTGAAATCCACAGCTGCATGGTTTTAAGAATGGAATTGTAATCCTACCTAAAGAAATCTAATCTGCATTTGTATGCTCCTGGGAAGGGAACAAATGGAACTGACTGACTGAGTCCTTCAGTGCTGCAGTAAAACAAGCAGATGCTAAAAATGATTTGTGCAACTTCAGTGTGCAACAGAAGTATTTTAAGATTTAAGGTTGTTGTATTAATTAGTTGGTATCATTTGGTATGAAGAGAGTCATGGTGTGGAGGGGAAAAACCATCCATTTTAGTGATTATATATGCTGGCAATATTGTGAAGCTCATCCAATGGCTGTATCAGTTGCATGATTTCTAATTGGTAACACTAATTTCTCTGCTACAGGTGGTAAGGTTTTGGACTATGATGTTAAATGGTCCTCTACCTAGTGCCCTTCAGAATGATCAACACCCTACCCTTCAGACAAGTGCCTGTGATGCTCTTTCTTCTATCCTCCCTGAAGCTTTCAGCCATCTGAAGGTAAAGCTGTGGATTTTTAAGTACAAAGATCTTCTGGCTTTCTCCTTGTACCTACATTAACATGGAGTCTGTGCTGATTTTGCATGAAATCCCTTCATATATTTTCACGTTAAATCTGAGGAAACCGTGGCTGGTAAAGATCCAAAAGGCATTTGGTGGGGGCAGGATTTTCTAAAACCCTGAGCAGAGGTACCCAGGCAAAAAATAGCCAACCTCCGTGCATAAGTATTAACAGATAGCTCAGTTGTGTTGCATGGCAAGTGAAGGCTAAAGAGTCTCCATCTGTGGGGGAGATGTGGAAGCAACTGCTTTTTTGCTAACGAGATTCCATGAGACGTGCAGGCAGCTAAGCTGGCAACATTGAGTAGCTTGGAGTTTTCCCCCCTCAGCTGACTGGGAAACAGTTTGCTATCCCAACCACAACTGAATGTGTGGGCCCAGCTCTCCTTTAACACAATGAAATATGCTTTTGTGCATTCAAGCCCTGGCAGCTGAAAGCCACTGTATTGTGCAGCCGCACTCGTGTCACCGTGCCCTTCTTGAGTCGGAGAGCTCTGCCAGGTCTCATTTGCACAGGAATTGCTGGAGCAGCAGTATCTCTGCCATGTTCTTGGTCCAGCTTCTGCAAGTACAGCATGTGCTCCACTGCTCTGCACTTTGATCCCCTGCACCCGCTTCCCCTTGCCGACCATTCAAGGTCAGCAATGTGCCCACGTTGACCTATGTCTATGATGCAGCACGATGGATTTCACTGCAGGCTCATAAATTTGCAAGGGGAACTTAGCGTGCCGTGTCTGAAGTGCAGAGTGACACTTGCAGTTCTCTATAGTCACCGTACCTCCTGCCATCCTCTAGTGGTGAATTTCTAGCCTTCTCCAATCTTTGCATACTGCGTTTTATCCACTGTACATGGGTAGCTGGTGCCACATCTACAAGATCTGGTGTGTTGAAATGAATGAGTATCTTGTTTGCCACCCCGGGGTAATTCATGTTTGAAGCTGGGATACTCCCATTCCCTATATAGCACCTGACAGCACCCTTTATTTGCTCTCAAGTGCATTCTCATCAACTGCTTGTGCATGACCCTGGTTTTAATGTTTTAAACCTTCATTGGGTCTCTGCTCTTTTTTTATGATGTGGGGACCTCACAGCCCAATCATGCTGCTTGTGTTCTTTTCCAACCTGCCCTTCCTCCAATCTCTTTTCCTCCCTGCAGGTTGACCGCCAGATCCTGTGCATCACTGTGCTCCTTGGATTGAACCACAGCGAGAACCCGCTGCTGAAAGCTGCCGCGGCACGAGCCCTTGGAGTCTACGTCCTCTTCTCGTGCCTTAGGCAGGTTAGAACTGGCCTGCTGTTCCCTTACCTGAGCTACAAACTTCTCCTCCCCAGTGGGCCATTAACATTCTGTGCTGAGAGCAGGCCCCTGTGTGTGCCAAAGGGGGTGTACACAACATTGAGGTGATAACTCAGAGAGGACGTTTGCATTTACTCTGCTCAGTCCTGCCTACCCCGCTCAGTGGGAACAGTTGGTCTTAGACTCAGCGTGGTTCTTCTGCCAGAGATTTGCCAGGAATGGGCTTGTCTGTATACAAGTGTGAGATCCTCATTTCACTCCAGCCTCCTCATGGTAGCTGACCATACCTGAGTGGCTTAAAGAAGCTTATGAAAACCCTAGCTCCAGCCAGAGAAGGATTGCTTGTTGGCAGAAACTATTAAAGGTGGCTGCTTGGCTGTCTCCTGAGGACTTCCGAGGGTGAGACTGGAGTAGGGGGGGCAGGACAGCAGCACATAACTCTGCAGGACTTATAGGTAGAGATGCACCCCCGAGCAACTGAGGACAGGCTGTGGTAGCTTAAGTGTTAGCTCTGGCAGTCTGGAGAGCAGAAGTGGAGAGGTGCCATGGTGGGTTAAAGCCACCACAGTTCCCTGCCCCGGGTTGTGTGTTTGGTGCTGCACCTCCAAGAGGGTCCATACCCTGTGTATTGGATGTAGGGGGTTCATAGGGAGTACCTTCAGTACAGCATACAGTGGGATATGGGGGAAGGAGTGCAACTGTGCAGACTGACTGACTGACTGTCCACACTGGCTTTGATAGCAAATTGGAGTAGAGATGTGAGCACCCTTATGAAGCTACGCTAGCAATTGCAGAGAAACTTTAGTAAAAAGAGAATTTGGAGGAGACCTCTTCTTACTCAGATTTGATCACAGTTGTCTTTGCATAATCCACATACTTGGGTTGTGCCTTTCTTCTGGAAACTGACTTCAAACCACTGGCACAGGGCTTACAGTTTCCTTTCTTGGAAAGTCATAGACAGGTCTGCTTTGATTTTAGTAAAGTCTTGGAGATGCCCAAAATGCTTGTCGAATGGGGTAGGACCCCCCTAGCATTAAAAATGGCTGGGGCTTTGTATTATGCACAGGTGAGCATACAGGCAACCCCTGCTTAACACTGTTTTGCTTAGCGCTATTTCGCTATAACACTCATTTTAAATTGATACCCGATTCCACTTAGTGCTCAGCGAGTTTTTTATAACACTTGTGGTCACCATCTTGGGTCATCAAAAACTTTCGATTTTGCTTAGCAGTAGCTTCGCTTAATGCTCAGTTTTTCAGGAACCAGTTAAGAGCGCTAAGCGGGGGTTGCTTGTATAAATGCGGAGTTTAGTGAAAGGGTTTATAAAAACGGGGCTAACTTTCTGCCACAATTGAAAACATGTTTATTTGGAAATACGGTGTTAACTGTTGAAAGTAAAAGTAGGAAGGTCAGCCTCTGTGTACAGAATCAGTCCACAAAAATTCCACTTTGCTTCTGGAGCGAACTCAGGCTGGTTGTAAAAAAGGATTCTCTTCTTTGTGCAACATGATTGAGAGCATGTCAGTGGACAGATATCATGCCAGTAACTGAAGTTGAGACTTTAAGCTTAAAATATTTTGAAAGAAAGTACTTAATAATATGCAAGGGAATAGCAGCAAAATATAACGTACCACAGAAGGGAAGATTAATGAAACAGCTCAACAGGGAGTTGGGAGAAGCAATTACTTTTTTGACAGTGGGATTTGATGAGAATGAGATTGGCAGCCCAGGTAATTATGCTCAAATCAAAGTAGCTCAAGCACCAGTGAAACTCAGTCATACACTTGATACCTTGTAGCAGCAGCCACCAAGGAGAGTAGCAAATGTGGACACCTTGTAGAGTTCATTGTTAATTAAAAGATCAAACAAAGCTGTGCTGGGAGCCCTGGAGATGTTGTAAAGTTGTTGCTTAATGCAGAAAGTTCCTTTTGATGGATGCAGTCTTTGCGCAGATTTTTGCTGTGATGATAAAGGTGAGGAAAGTGTACAGAGCTGAAGTCACCCAAGTTTGTTCATTTTAATAAAGCAGTTTTAATAATGACCCAGACTTTAACAGTGATTCTGAATTCTCCAGGATGTGATGTTTGTCGCGGACACTGCAAATGCCATCCTGAACTCCCTCCACGACAAGTCTCCAAACGTCCGTGCCAAAGCAGCCTGGTCCCTGGGCAACCTTACAGACACTCTCATCGTCAACATGTAGGTACTAGTCCTTCGGCTACTTGGAGCTTCTGCGTGGCTTTCACTCTTTAAAACTAGCCTCTAAAAAACAAAGGCGTTGGCTTCCTTTCCTGGACAAAGTTTGCAATGACCTGTGTGCTGCCTTAGTGTCAGAAGAAGGTGCAAGAGGCTTTGCCAGGCCAGTTGTGAATAGACTATGTCCTCAAAGGAAGCTTCTTCCTGACAGCTCTTCATTGGAGGTTGGCTTAGCTTAAAGTCTTACTCTGGATCCGAGGTAACTCTGCGTCTTCCCAGTATTTCACCTCTAATCCATTTGTTGAATTCTGCACAGGTTCTTGGTTTCACCCCTTGTAGGAGTTGCACAGGTGATGCACTGCCAAAGAAGATGACTTAGTTGTATCATAATTCAATGTTCCTTTGTTCTAGTATTATGTGAAAGGGAATATGGGCTCACTGATAAATTAACCAATGCCAGCTGTAATATAGAAAGTTGAGTCAACCTGCTGTGAACCATTTGCTGCATTGAAAATGCACCTTGCTCCTACTCTTGGTGATTTATTATCCTCTGCATTTCATTGTTGCTCCCCCGCCAACATGCAAATAGGCAGGCTTTCCTAACATTGCATTTAGATTAAGAAGCCTAATGTCACATCCTTTTATATAGTTATCCATGTTCCTCTTAACTGAAAAGTTGGCCTGTAAAAATTGAATGTATTGCTCATGGTAGTGGTTTATATATCCTTTATAGGGGACTGTTTGTTGTCTTTACCATAGGATGGATAACCTTGCTTAGCGTTTTCCCATTGTAATAACTGTGGTCCTCAATATGTGTGTGTTGTTTGTTTTTTTTTTGCCAGGGATTCTATGGGGCAAAGCTTCCAAGAAGAATTCTCAGATCTCTTGCTATTGAAAATGTTACGGTCAGCAGCTGAGGCATCCAAGGACAAAGACAAGGTGTGTTGGGGGTGGTGGGGGCGTGAAAAGTCAGTGTAGAAAATTACAGGCTAGTCTTCATTACTTGCTTTGGTCACAGTATGTTTGGTTTGAGTGGTCCGGGGAAGCTGACAACGCCAATACAATACACAAATAAAACCTATGTGCTATATTGTTCGGTTTGTTGACACCTCGTGTACCAACAATCAGAATCCACCATTAGCTTATTTTATTCTACATTAACCTTCCATCTAGCAATGGGGACTCCTGGTCCTGGGGCATCTAAACTGACCACTTTGAACTGCTCAGTGTAGTTGCTAGCAGGGCTGCTTTTCTGGCAGGTCATAGGAAGTCAGTTAGTTTTGGAAAGAAGTTGCATCCTTTCAGAGAGTTCTTTATGTTACTTTCCTTTGTACATCCACCTTGAGGCCTTGGCAAGGTCTTTGCTATAAACTGGCCCTATAAACACCTTTTTGTGTTTTCAGGTTAAGAGCAATGCAGTCCGAGCCCTTGGAAATCTGCTTCATTTCCTTCAGCCATCCCACATAGAAAATCCCAGATTTAATGAAGCTATTGAGGAGTCTATCCAGGCCCTGATTTCTACTGTCCAGAGCGAGGCCACCATGAAAGTGCGGTGGAATGCATGCTATGCGCTGGGAAATGTATTCAAAAACCCTGGCTTGCCGCTTGGTAAGTAACCACTTTTTTACTGCCATTGTCTAAGGCATACACAGGTAGTTGTGCAAAAGCATAGGCTTGGGATTTTGCTCAGAAGACGTCTATCATCAGCAGGTTTGGAACAACAGGAAGAGCTTGAATCTTACTCTTGTATCCAAGGGTGGAAACTGGCCTTCAGTATATGTTTGATTATGTACGCACTCGCGCACATGGTAAACTTCACTACCATGAATAACCTTACTGACATTCGTGCTTGAAACTACAGCATGTTAGTGCTTGCAGTATTGAGGCTATAGCTGATATTAAGGGGTAGCAGCTAAAGATAACGTAGCAGGAATTCATTTTTATTCTCAGCGGAAACAAACAAAATACAGGGAAGAAGGTTTCCTTGATAAATGTCACCTGTTCAGTCACTGGGATTGCAAAACATCTGATTACCTAGAAATGATGATAGAGCTACACAACTGGATTTTAAACGTGACATCAATTGAGTGTCTACTTCATTCAAAAGCAGAGGGAAAGGGATTTGTTTTTAAACTTTGCCTGTAAAAATGTCGCTTTCTCCATTTAAAATTGCACTAGATTATGAAGTTAGTTGATAATATTTTGCTTATGGTAAAATCCCTACTCTTTAGCTAAAGACATGTGCAAATGGTGTAGCATGAATCTGTCTGAGGAGCTGCCATTGTGAGTTTGAGTTTGCGCACGTTACTGATTTATGAGACTGTTTGTTCTCCAGGAGAAGCTCCTTGGACCACACAAGCCTACGATGCTCTTGCATTTGTGGTGAAGTCATGCAAGAATTTCAAAGTCCGGATCAAGTCTGCCATGGCGCTCTCCATCCCTGACAAGAGGGAGCGCTATGGAACTACTAAACAGTTCAGCCAGATCTGGAGTGCCTTGGTTATAGCCCTGCAGAAGAGCGAGGACACGGAGGATTTTCTGGAGTTCAAATACAGCGCCAGCCTGAGAACCCAGATTTGCCAGGCGCTGATTCACCTGTTGAGCTTGGCCCACACTACAGACCTCCCATTCATTTGGGACACATTAGCAGAAAAGGGTGAGACAATCAGATCGTACATCTTGCAGTACATGAAATCAGGGGTCGAGGAGGACGATGCTGGAATGCAGCCGAACTCTCACGAGAGAGAGAAGATCTTGAAAAGAGCTATTGAGCATCTCTGTGGGATCGAGGAGCTCCTGGAAGGCAAAACCAAAGTGGGGGTTGCTGCTTACCTAAAAGATATTATGGCAAACCATGTCAATGCCACTGAATTAGCAGAGGCTTAGGAAGGTTCATGCAGTGTTTTACTGACCAATAAATGACGCCTTCTGATTCTATGCAGGGGGGGAGTATACGGTTTTCATTTATTCAGGAGGGCTGAAAAGGGGGTTGGCTGGTAACAGGTGAGTGTGTTATCACCTTGAAAACAAATGTCTTTATTCTTGATACATTTTATAAACACAGAGCCTTTTTATGAGCTTGTTTCAGAGCCATTTTATCACCGTGGGCTGCTGTCTTTGGAAACATGGCTGTACAGCTGGTTTGTGGTAGAATTGGTTGTGTTGTCCGCCTCACCTGATCAGATGTCGCTATGGGATTTGGTGCATTTTCTGTCGCTCATACAGAAACCCACATTGGAATAACTTCTCAAATCAAATACACTTAGACATCCTTCCTTCCTTCCCTACCTACTGTTTAGGCTGCGGGGTACCTGTGATTTCTTGTGTTTTGAACCCAAGATTAATAGTACAGGGCAGGATGCTGCCAGGGCATCCCAGAAGCGGGGGTTCCTGGGATAATCCTGTTTAGAGCCTGAGATTTGTACAGGGGCTCTCAACTCTCCCAATTCCCTTACATCCCTTTGAAAATCTCTTCTCTATCTCATGCCTCTCTGAAACCCTCATTCTCTAAGGTGCCGCCCTGTCCTGCCTTCTGCCTTATTTAAGAGTGACACAGCTAAGCAACTCTGTCTCCTTTGTGTGCATGGGCAGAGATTGTTTTAAATGTTGCGCCATCCTGTTTTATTCCTGCTTTGTTGTTCCAATTGAACCAAAAACTGCATACGTCACCTCTGTTTTCAGTTGTTGCACTATGTGGTATGCTTACAGGTTCTGCTGCTGAGTGAGATAGGATTCCCATCCTACAGCAGATACTGGTCAGGACTACTCACTGGTTGACTTCCCTTTGACTCACCTGTAAACTAGGTAGGCGTAGCTGTGTTTGATGCTGATCCATTAAGGAAATGTGCTGTAGGTGAAAAGACCCACAGTCCATGTATGAGACGCTTATAGCTATTGCGCTTCTTCCTTCTTGTCTGTTTGGGTTTGCTTTTGCCATTGAAGACCATTCGTTTCCTCCCCTTCCCACCTCTGAATAGCATACCAGTACCTGACTTTTTCAGGCTCTGAGGAGCTTGGGATTATACGTTAGCTTCTAAGGATTTCTGTGCTGCCTTTGGCTAAGCAGGCACGTGAGATATTTCAGAGCAGAGGCCTCTATTGTAGCACAGCTGCCTTGTAGATTTAAATGTCTGCCCAGATGGAGCTTGTTGCCACGTTGGGCCAGAGTGAGCTTAAAGGACAAGTGTTTTTGTCTCACTACAGAAGCTGGCTCAGATGGAGTTTTGTTTCCAGTTTTCCCTCTTTTTTAGATGTTGAGAGATGTTTTTCCTACAGATTTTCAGAGGTGCCTAAAATAATATGAGTGCCCCAAACCTATTCCAGTGAATGAACTCTTGTGTCTGGATACTGACACAGCTCTGAAACTTTCACTGGATTTACGTGCACATTTTGAAAGAACCCCAATGTTTGAACATTCCTCCTTTTGAGTCTTCTGGAGCAGAAACAAACCTACCAATGGATGGCTCACAGGCAAGACTGTCTAAAATCATCAAGTTATCCAACAACCTTATTGGGGACAGTGTATTCAACTCTCCTGCTGTAGAACAACATAATGCCAGCAAGAACTAATGCCAGCATTGCACTCTCTCTCTGTCTATATATTATACACGTAGTAAGGACCTTGAAATACTAGACTTCTTAGAGAGCTGTATCCAGTAGACTCCATTGAAATCATAACATGACACCATGCTCTGGGCACAATTCTCATTTCCGTGAAGGCAGCTATGAACTGTCCTGGCAGAGGAAGCCTTGCCAGTGGACATAAATCCTATTTTTGTTCTTAAGACTCCTTTAAAATGGCAGAGGGATAAAGTGGTCTTAGTATCTAGGTGAGAACTGGGCCATATATAAGTTACCTTTGAAATGTGTACCAGATGTGTGCCTCTTACAGACTTCCCTGCCTTTTTCTGCTGCTACCTGTATTATGTATGTGGTTGTTTTTTTTAAGCAGGGTAACGTTGTGTTGATGTCTGTTTTCCCTCGACTCTTCAGTGTCCTGGGTTAATATTTGAAATCAAACTTCCAGCCATTTTCAGGCCTTGCGTAGCTCCGGCAGCATAAGCGACCTTGGAGCAACGTGGATGTCTGTGAGTAAGCTGTGCTTGTGGCTGCTTTCTGGTTTAGCACATTCCTGTTCTCACAGTCTACCGGGAAACTCAAATCCTTGTTTTCTCTTTAGTTTCTTCCTCTGAAGTTTGAGTTTCAGGCACACAAACCTGCACTTTGCAGGTCCTCTTTTGGCCTGTAGGAATAAATCTATTTTGTTACCTGATGGTGCAGAAAGAGGACTGAACTCTTCGAGAAATGGGCCCAGTGTCTGGAGACACTCAGGATTTCTGAACAGCGAGGGGCTGAGGGGAACATGTATGGTATGTGGGTTGAAACGTTCAGGTGATATAGCAGCTGTTGGCCACAGTGCACTGCTCATGGTCAGGAGATGGAGACACAGAACATAACTTGAGTTTCGTGCCTCATTTAAACGATGGGGGAAAAAAAGGCTTTGCTGCAGCAAGAGTGTTTAATCAGCCTCTCTTATTTCAAAGGCACTCACTTGCCTGGAAAAACATCCCAGCTGCACAAATGTCATTTATTCCACAGTCAAAGGGTCACAGCAAGACTCCCGGGCACCTCTGTGACTGCAGAAGATATGAGGTGCACATCCACAGAGCAACAGGTACTTGGCCTTCAGCACGGGTTTCTTTATTGAAGGTTAAAATGTGTGCAGGGGCCTGTACAAAGCATCAGAAAGGCCAGCCTCCCTGCTGGAAGGATCTGTCCTTGACCTCTTGTCTCCTAAAACATGCCCAAATGTTGCATCCATTTTTCTTTCCCTCCTGCATCACCCACAGCTCTTAGGATCATTAACAATTTAACTCCTCCACTGTCCAGGATGGGACCTGCTGTGGTAGGAGCAGTACAAGCATAGAATAAGTGATTGTCCATGGTCCAACTAGCTTTTCAAAGCATTTAGGTGCCTAAATCCAGTGGGGCTTTTCAAAAGCAGTCCAGCAACTGGGATACCTCAGTGTACCCTCTTAGGCTTTAGCTGCCTCCTTCGGTTTTTAAATACCATTTGGCATTCTGGCTCTTACTATCTGAAAGCCAAGACCTAAAAGGTGATGGATACCAGAGTGAGCTGGGGTGGGAGAGGGGATCTTTGGTTACTCCCTAATCATTTGAATCTGTGTAGTACGCCCCTGCTTTTGAAACAGTGGCTGCAATAGGACCCTTATTTATTTCCACTAGGCACAGTAGCGTAGAGTTCTGGATTTGTCCTGAGAAGCAGAGAAGTATATTTTTATTTTGGGAAGGTTAAGTAGTTTCTGAAATACCTTGTTCATTAAGGGTCCTTGTCAACCCTTAATAAAGGTACATCAAACTGTTCGACATCTTCAGCAGGGATTGGCCTGATGTTTTTCAAAGCATGCAAATGTATTCCTCAAAAATCAGATAGCAATTGATGTAGAAAAGAGATGGATGAGTCAGCAAAGAGCTGCATGCTGGATGCAGGGTGAGCTTTTGTTTGCGAAAGAATTGAACTGTGTGCATCTCCCTGATTACCTCATATATGCATTTTTACACATCACAGACACTGCCATACTGGAAAGAATAAAATGCTAATCAAGCTAATTTTAGTGTGTTAGGCTCAGGGAGTCGGAAAAAAGGTGGTAATGTGACGCTGCCTCATTACACAGGCTCAGGGGGTTGACTGCAGAGACCTTGGACTGCTTGGTCTCCTGCAGCCTCCATTAATGTTCTGTTGAACCTCTTATCAAAGATAAAGACAGTCATTAAAACAGTACAAGTGTTGAAAATGTCAAAACATAAAATAAAGCTTGCACGCAAACGGCTCTTGCTTTCTGCAGTGCAGCTGCCAAGTGTGATCTTTTCAAGATGTGGCTGTTCCCAGCAGAGTAGGGGGCATAAGCACTTGAGTAGTGGTCTTAGCAGACCAATGAACCCTGTGGTCCCCAGGGGAGAGTGTTACCTGGTGATAGTACAGGGCAGGAGAGTAGATTATCATGAAAGAATATCAGTGCTTTGTTGCTGAGGAAGCAGAAATGCTCAGAGAAGAGCCGCTCGCCAGTTCTGGCCTGCACCCGTGTTCAACACGCTCCAGCAGAGACTAGTCTGAGCTGGGCAGCTGGCTTGCTAATCTGAACACTCACAAGTGCTGGCAGGGGATGGCTGTTCCCACCTTGAGAAGAAAACACATCGGGGTCAGGGCCTGCGGTTGAGTGCCCACAAAGCAGCAAGGGGGAGGTCTAGCCCAAGTGAGACCCCAAAGCCATGACCAACAAGAACCTGGATCCAGTCCCAGGCACCCACCACACAGAGCTCATTGCAGACAGCAGAACCTGCCCACCTCCCAGGTGGAGGCCTGCAGGCCTCAGAAGCGCAGTCACGGTACCACACCAGAGCTGGCTGCAGCATGTGCACTGGGCACTGCTACAAACCTGAGCCAGGAAGCACATGGGTCAAGGCATCTTTGAGGTGCAGTGAGGCACAAGCACCAAACAAGGTCTGGGACAGGAGCAAACAAAGCCACATCTGCTCTTGTGATTGTCAGGGCCCAGGGGCCTCTGTCTGCTCCCTGCATCACCCAAGGTTCAGCATCTCCACAAACACCTGCTTCTGTGGAGTCCATGTAATTGCAGCCCCAGGAAGCTTTTATAACCTCATCTTTATTCAGAGTGGGTTTAAAGGGAGCCCTTGGTCAGGGTCAGAGAGGGACTCTCCTTCACGAATGCTTCTATGCCAGGGACCAGCAGCTGGCCTCTTCTCTTCTGCAATGAGAACCTGCCAAGTGAGAGGCCAGCCCTTCCTCAGGTAATTAGCACTCAATTACAGTACATTAGTGAACTCTGCTGTAACTATTTGTCAGGCTCTTCCTGGAGCCCTCTCTGTTGGTCAAAATGTTTTATAGGTGCTGCACCTTTTAGGTTTTTCTAGACAGGGAAGCCCCATCCCAGTAAAAGATGCACAAGCCGACGTGTGTGGTTGTGTGGTGTGGGAGGGCTGAGGTATCTGGCGGTATTCAGCTCTGCGGTGCTAAGTCATGCTGGTATGCTACTGT